GCTTGCGATCAATTCCCCACTACTCGGCCTGTTCGAAGTGCAGAACCTCATTGCCTCAGCTGAAAGTCAGTTTCAATGGCCCCAACTGACAGGGTTTCGAACCGATCCTGACCTTGCTCAAAACAAGACTGGCATGCTGCTTTTCAACAGCAGAAAGCTTGGCAGAAGATTGAAGATTACCGCCAGCATGGCGGCTCCGCCGGAATGCCCAACTGAAGCTTCGCAAGGGAGAACAAGGATCCCGCTTCTTGGAGTCCCAATGGAGCATTCGCTGGATCTGGCAGCAGTGTGGGCCCTGTATGGTTGTATGTGTCCGTGCAAGGCCCGAGTGAAACTTTGGACTATCCTAGCATGGTTTCTGCCTCTTTGTACAAAATTGGAAATGTCGCACATCAACAGCGGGAACTAAGGTTCCCCCTGGGCATCGCCACTCTCCACCACCAGCCTGTCAGGAACGAGAAGCTCCGGTGCACGATTATTAACAATCATGCAAATCATGCCACATGCCTCAATGAGATCCTTGCGCCGCAAACACTCTTCGATAGCAGCAGTGTCAGGGCCATGACCATGTGTGGTCTCCACCGTATCAATCTAACGTCTGAAATTCGGCACGTACCAATGTTAGTATCAAGGCCCAGTAAGACTGCACCGCAGATGGCGTGTGCAGAGCTTGATATGCCTGCGTTTTGGCTGGATGATCAGTATGGGGGCAACCGTGCAAAAAAGCTTGCCTCTTTTGTTGGGTGATCCACCTTGGACTGGGTTGGAGGTGGGGAAACAGTACGGACATGCTCATCCTCCGACTCACCTGTGATGTCCAGAGTCTTCCATGACAGCATCCTTTTCATTCTTCACTCATGGCCCATGGATCAGCCGGGTAGACCATGAAGTGGCCGAAGAGGCGTGCGCACAAAATAGAGGAGGAGGCCTCCAAGACGGGTTGGCAGCCTAGAGGATCCTCGTGAGGGAATTGCCACCGTGCGGCGGCAGTTGCAGTTTAGCAATGTATTGATCACAACTCGAGGTGCCTTCCACACGGGTGGACTGCACTGGCGTGCTGAGACTCCTGGAGAAGTGACTGCAGACAATGTCGGCAGAACGTGCCCCTGGCAGTGGAGGTCGGGCCGGGGGGACTGAACTTGCCCCCTTTTCGCGCCTGGTCTGCAGGCAACCAGACCATGAAATACACTTTGTTCAGCTCAACGTAATAATTGCACATTCTCCAATTGCTCCAGCGCTGCGTGGCAGGACAGCAAATAGCCTCCATGGAAGAGACACAAGCTCTCCTCCGAAAAACTTTGGAGTTGGCACTGGTGCTCACCAGCGGGCAAGTCCTTTTCCCGTTTGAAGACTCGCCGCAAAAAAACATGATGGAATCATTTTACATAGACGAAGTGCCCCCACAACGAGCAATGGTCCATCGCATCCTCCATCAAACAGAATGCCTTCCCTCTTCTGGCTGTGCAGTCGGCCTAGAGCAAGCCCGGCCTTCTGAACGGGGGAAGCCTTTGCTGCTTTCCCTTTCATGCAGCTGCACACCTTGCCGGCACCTGCAACCTCAGACCGCCCTGTACCACCGATCCCGCCATGGCTTAACCTGTTCCTGCCTCCCCAATCACAGCCTGCAGGATTTTGTGGAACAGGACGTGATCGCAGGGCATGATGCGCCACATGCACGCCTTAGTCGAGAACTCATCACTCGTGCAAGAAATGTGCGCGCTTTGGCGTGCGACATCCAACGTGTTGTTTTGCCGTAGGAGGACCAAGAGACGCTGTGTGTCTTCAGTGGGGAGTTGCTTTTGCCAGTACCAGAGGTCGCAGGAAGCAATTAAGTGTCGGTTCCAGTGGCGAAGAAAACAGCTTTGGCACCGCCGCCGAAGAAGAGGTCATCCGCACCAGCGATCACGAGGTGTCCGGCATGTCAGACAGGTGCTGAGTATCCAGAAGTTCGCCACAGTGCTGAATGCAAGAAAGCAAAGGCAATTAGCGTGGCATTGCCACCAGCAGAACCCAGTCCCGAGGAACCTTGGAGGCCACCGCCAGTGGAGGACATCGAGTATGAACCCACGGAAGTAGGTGAGGTCGACCGAGAGATGGTTGATGTGTCCGAGGCACCAGCAGAGGCAGGGAGTGTGGCAGATGATGCTATGGAGGTCGACACTCAGGATATTCCAATGTTAGATGTGTGTCTGTGCGACAGGTTCGTCAGTCCATTGAGGATTAGTTCAAGTGAGGTGATCGTCTTCGAGAGGTTTCTTGTGGAATCAACAGGTATCGATGCCACGTTCAAGTCTTCGTCAGAGCTTGTCAAGTTCTGTGGCGTGAAGATGCGCCTATGGAAACCAGATTGGGCTGTGAGTGACACCACCCTAGAAGATCTCCCACCAGCTGGCACATATGCCGCCATGTACAAGGAGATCGTGGGGCTTGATGCCTTATCGGCCGGGCAGCCATTGAAGGAGCCGGAGGTGTTGGCTCTATGTCGCGTGGCCAATGTAAAGGGAGTGTGAAACAGTTTCCATGCAGACCATAGCTAACATGTACAGCATGTGTAGCATTTTGTGATATGACCACAGCCCTTTTATGCATCGAGAAAACTCGCAAAGACACATTAATGATTGAAATTTTGGACAGGACGCCTCGATTGCTAAAGTCTGCGAACTGTTCCGAACAACGTTGATGCTTTCGTGGGGCTCTGTCTCGCCGTCGCCTAAGTTTAAAGATGAAGCACGAGCTAAAGGATGCATCTATGTACCTGACTGAGCAAACATCAAGGCTGCGTGCACTACCGGTGACGCTTCCAGACTAGGTGTGCATGGGACTCACCGTGTTCTTGCTTAAACTGATACCCAGCAGTTTCGCCATGGTTTTTTCAGCGCAGACGCGAAGGCAAGGCGTGATGACGAATTCGTGGAACCAAAGCGACCAAGTGTGCTGCGTGCGCTCGACGATGTCATGTGTTTGGTCGCGAAGCTCTAAAGTAAGGACCATCTTGCAACTGTTTGGACAAGGAACCGATATCAACGCACGAGCATCCAAGTGTTGTATATAATTGTAGCCTGTCGGCTCCAGAGTTTCTGTCGCGTGTGCGGCATTGGATGTCCACGCTCCAGGCTGTGTTTTCATTGTGTTTGCGGAAACCGATGGAAGTTATGACCCCAACTGGGGTGGTGCTAGGTTGAGCAAGCATTTCTCCTTTCAGACGGATGACTCCACATGATGCCTCACAGTGGTAAAAACCAGTGGACTGGGTCAGAAAACTAAGTGTTTGCTGAACTTCCGGCAAGTCACTGCCTTTATGTCGGTCGTTTGTTTTGTCGTTTGGCTGAAACCGATCGTTTCAACACATGTATTTTCTGAAAGGCTTGCCGAGATTGTAGGTTCCTATAAACGATTGAGCTCAAGCAAACGGAGGTGCACATATTTTCAGGACTTTGGCAGATATATCGAGTCGCTTTTGAAGAGACTTTCCTGACATTGCAACATGCATTTTTTTTCAGGTGACCACCGAAGCAGAGCTGCAGCTGGAGATTTGTGGCACCGCAGCTGCAAAAATTTGGTTGATCAGATCGGTGGTTTCGCGGACCGGCGGAACTCCTACGACGAAAACAAGACTCGCCAGATGGGAAGACCGGAATATCCTCCATTTCTCCCTCATTGCCAGTAGGCTTTCTGCCGTAAACCATGAGCTTACAGACCCATGTTTGTTTGACACAAGTCTTTTCCGTCGTGGAGCGAAAGCAAAGGGAACTAGTTGAAGAGCACGGGTAGTTTCACATCCAACTTTGTTTGTTCGCTGTGGCTTCCTGACCCTTTAGCTCGGGAGTCACTTTATTTGTTTTTGATGTTTTTGCGAGTTTAGGATCTATATTGGCATTTTTGTGCTGATAACCAATCGCCATACTTGAAGAACACACCCAACCAATTACCACACTGCCTTTGCACTTGTCAAATCAGTTTCCTTGGCGTGCACCAGTGATTTTGAGTGCACGGAATAGTGTGTGTGTGTGTGTGTTTCTGAGATCGGCCTGATCCATGAATGGATTGGATTGTCATTAGTTGCCCCACTCCTCTTGATGCGAGCTTCTCTGGTGGAAAACGCGTGTATTGGACTGGAGAGAGGTGCACGTTCGACCCTTTGGTTTGTTTCCTAGCTTGTTGGCTGGTGTTTAAATGTATAGCCACGTCACGGCACATTTTCTTGATTCGGAATTAGGTTTTTGATATGGAAACTATAAAGCTATAAGTGAAGCTTCATGGCTTTCACGAATTGAAAGACCATGGCAGACAGATGCACAGACTGTGACATAGAAAATCGTGTGGAGACTTGTTCCGCTTCTGTTCCGAGCTGCTGCTAGGTCGATGAGGCGGAGGCTTGGTCGATGGAGGAGACTCGTGACTCGTTGGCTTTGTCGTGACAAGCCCAGTTATGACGAATATCAACCATGAGCTCACTCGATGGAGGTCTAAGGATTTGACGTTTGTTTGATTCGTGATTTGGAGGTCTAAGGCAGCGAGAATGGAATTGAATATCCGATGAACGTGACGACGAGACGGTGTTTTCTGTGTGTTTTTCTCCCCGAACGCCGACAGAGCATCGAGATCTTTGGCGAAGATGAAAGAGAATGACCCCCGGACCGACCAGCCTACATAGACAACAAGTGTAAAATCTTGGTGAAACTCAAAATGCTTGGCACATTTGGCCCGAACCCCGTCCAGGTACATCAGAGGTGCCTGGCCCTTGGCAGATCAGTTTTCAACTGCTTTTGGTTCCATGCACTGCTGTGAGTCAACCCTCCTGAGCGCAATGGCCTCCACCCTACTAGTTACTAGCTACTAGCTACTAGTAATGCCCTTGTTACTCGTAGCTTCTTGTTCCTAGTAGTAAGGCCAGGAGCCCCGTTCGTAGCGTCCTTGCTATTAGTAGTGAAGCAAGGCCAGAAGGTCGGCACTTCGGCACTTCGTGCGACATCGCAGCACACGGCTCGCTCGCGACGGCCATGGCGCGGCCTGGTGCTGAACGTGAACGTGCACCACGCCTTGCAAGTGGGCCTTTGGATGCAGACGGAGATAGCGAATTGTCTGAGCTGATCCAAGCCCTCAAGAGTTTCTTGGAGTTTTAGAATGCTCTCAAGAGTCCAGTGACTGCATGTTTTTTTGATTGACAAACTCCCATTAAACCGGTAAGGGAGAGAGAGCCACTTGAGTCACTTGAGCTCTTCAGCTAGGCTTGATCCCTCAGGTGCTATCCTAGACAAAAACGCGCAGACCTTAATCGACGAACAGTCCACCTTCGTGAAGGAAGTGGCCGATCAGCTTCGTCCTGCATGCCAAAAAGCATGCCAAATTGACCCTTTGGCCATCTACCTCATCCGATTCAACAACAAGAATGAAAAGCAAGATGAGATTGACAGACTCGATGAAATGTGTCACGAAAGGTTTGGAGACTGGCGGGAGGAGGCATTCTTTTTGCGCAAGCTTGAGGCAAGCAATGAGAGCGAGAGGGAAGTCATCCAGGATCATTTGAACAAGTACTGCAAGGACGAGCAGCCAGAGGTTCGAGATATGTGGATGCAAGTTCTTTTGAAGAAAGGAACCTCGATATCCTCCCAAGCTTATCCGCGCTGGCTCATGCAAAAGTCAGACTTAGCACAGGCGATCATTTTCCTGGAAAGCCCCATCAAGTTGCAGAAAGACTGTTTGGTTGCCTCAAAACCATACTATGAGATGGGAGAGGAGTTTCAAGACTTGCTCAGCAGCCTCGTGAGCGAAATGTGGTGCTTCGACCCCAAGGAGTTTCGGTTCCAAAAGGATCCCAGTGTGGCGGATCGCAGGCGAAAGCGCAAAGAGAGGAAGAGCAAGTTCGAACCGAAGCATCGTGGATTTGAAGGAGTTCCCTTGCCAATGCCCTATCCTCCCAGCTTGTGGAATGAGATTGGCTGGAGCGTCCCCTGGCCGGGCTTGCCTATGGATGGCTATTCGATGCCTTTGGGATCAGAGATGATCTTTCCCGCCATGCAAGGGCCCATAGGGCCGTCCGGGTGGCCCCTGCCGCTGTCGCCTCTAGACATGATGGGTTCATTGTCCTATGCGTACCCAGATGAGGCAACCCTTCCACATGATTTGGAGAGTCCTCCACAGGACGAAGAGAAGGAAGAGGAGAAAGAACAAGAAGAGGAAGAGAAGGAAGTGGAAGAGAAAGGCGTTTTGTTGAAACTTAAGCTGCAGAAGCCTGATGGGAAATTTGAAGTCCTTGATGCGTTCGAGGAGACATGGCCAGTGGTGAGCAAGATTGTTGCCGACTTCCGCCACCGCTACCGTATCCCACCCGAGTCAGTTTTTGAGTACAAGGACGAGGATGGTGAGAAAACCACCTTTCAGAAGAGCAGTTGGACTGAGGCCCTGGACCTCAAAGATAAAAACTCCGTTTTGAAGTTGTGGTTGAGCAATGCGAACGAGGGGGTCAGCTCAGGAGACCCTGAGGGGGTCAGCTCGGTCACGTCCGATATGCCCGTAGAGTATCTCAAAGTGAAAAACACTTTTCTGGAGTTTGATCCGGAAACTCCACAAAATCTCTTCGAGCATTTGAACGCGCCGGCAAAAGTTTGTCTCAGAACCAATAGTGGCTGTGAGGCTTCGCCGGCTGCGCCCACAGCGGGGTAGCTGTCGCTAGGCGATGAGTGGATGTGTCTGGGCCACTGGGCCTACTTGACTCTCCAAATGCTCGTGGCAAGGACAGGTCATGGTGAAAAAGAGCTGGTGGAAGGAGTGGACCTGGAACGAACACTGGACCGGGCAATGTGATGGTTTGATTCTTTGGGGCAAGATGTGTGTCGGTGCAATCGTATTGCCAGGAGTGGCAAGTAGAACTGTCTTGCATTGATTTCTTGAACCGGTATATATAGGTCTTGACTTGCCCCTCTAGAACCGCTTGTTCCTGGCAAGGGGAGTCCCCGACCCGTCTGCTTGCTGATTTCATCGAGTGGAGTAGATGTGGATGTGTTTTTCCTTTTCTTTGGACCTTTATTTTTTCTTCCTTTCTTCTAGTAGGTTGGAGACCATCGCTAGTAGGTGTTCCTCTTCCTTCCTTCCTGTTCTTTCTGAAAGGTCTGTTAACAGCGCAGCTGTTCCGCCTCGCCTTGCACATCGATGGCTGGGCCCGACTCGTCACAACTTTGCGCTCGAACGCTTCTTGTCTTCGCTCCTGCTTAACATGGTGTATGGAAGCCGGTGGCATGAGATTCTCTTTCATCAGGTTGGCAATGCCCTTGCTTGCATTTAAACAGAAACGGTTCACCACAGTCGTCACCACTCGTCACAGTCGTCCCGGCTGAGGGGACCGGTGGGAGTTTGAAAGTCTTGATGAGCGAACCAAAGTGTTTGTCTTCGCATTTCATCGAAGGTGACAGGTCCGATGCCAGAATGAACCAAGTGTGGCCACAAGGAACATGCCCACCGGGAAGCTTCCGTTGACATGTCTCGATGTATTGAAGTCCGGTTCCAAGGTCTCCTTTGTTATCCTTTCTTATGTGCTTTATGCCATCCATTGTGCAAGTGTTGCAAGGTCAGCTGCGACCTGTGAGGCATCATGCTGCAAGTGCCAAAGCTGAGCGTGCTGAGCGTGGAGGCCTAGGGCCAACCCGGAAGAAACACATGCGTAAACCCACTCAGAGCTTCTACCAGAAGAGGACGCAAGCCAGGACCTGTGAACATGACTCTATGACTAACTTGCGGCCACTTGTGGCCGGGCCAGGCAAGTAGCAGGCAATTTCTGGCCAGGCGGGTGGGCAGAAGTTTTCAATCAGAAGAACTGTGGGAAGTCTTGATTTTGTGGTGAGTGTGGCGAGTGGCGACGTCAAGGTTGTGACATGTCAAGATTTGTGACGCGAGTGTGTGTTCGACAGTGTTTGTGACGCGCTTTGGTCCCTTTTTTCCTGCCTCCTCAAGTGACTTCTGAGGGGAGTCAGTCTTCAAGAGAGAATTGAAACACATTGGTTGGCTATATAGTCTACCTGTTGGCAGGTGAGGCCTAGGTATGGTGCTCAGGAGGCTGGGGCTCTGAACATGTGGGACATTTATGAAAGGTACCCCGACCCAAGACTCAAAGGATTTGTCGTAAGCTGAAGCTGGGTATGTCAGCAATGGTTAGTCAAGTTCCATGACATTTGGAATTGTCGCTCAGTAGTGTGCGAATGTATGAAAACCAACTCGATACCTGTTGCCATGACCTGTTTGTCTGAATAGCTCTTTGCTTTTACCTTTTGCAAGGTTATGTGCACAGTAGCTTAGTGCTCCAAAGGTCACGGCGGAATTGACGACGAATTTCACCGTGGTGACTTGCTCCAGATGGCCAGGCATCCCAGCTATCACATCTTTCGCCGATCACCAGCATGGCGCGTGCCCCTGCACTTGTCAGAGATTCACTTGTGGGATCTTTCTGGATTTGAAGCTTTCTTTGGACACTGGGAAGGAAGACGAGTATATGAATCTTTCAGGGCAATCTGTTTTTTTTTGTCGGAAAGTACGCTTGAAACCTGGTGCATTTTGCTTTGCAATCTTGCTTAGCATTTGATGGCCATGCGGACTTATGCGTTAACCTCTCTAAAACATACCCCCCTTCATTGCATTTGTTCTCACTTCAAGTGGGGAGGAAAGTTACGTAGCTTCGCCCTGAAGAATCTTCTTCACGGCCACCAAGCTGAAGTGCTGCAGCTGTTGTAGTCACCAATACCACATCCCAGCATACACATTCATTCAGACACGGCCCTTGCTCGGATGAGGTTGGCAACCCATGACCTTGTACGAGCATGGGAGACTCAGTGGTGTGGGTGTGCGCAGACAAATGGACACAAACAATCGGAATGTTCGCTTTTGTGAACAATATACTGCCTGTATTTTGCAGGGTGGGGCCAACAGGTGAGCCTGTAGACTTGTGTCTAAAAGGCTTATAAAAAACAATCACGAATTGGAAGTTCCAATTCTGACCCAGTTCGCTTCATGGGCCTTTCTCCGTTTGCTCAGGTGCTACCGGCTCCGCCATCCCTGGAAGACCGCCTGTCATCTCCCTACGCTCAAAAGGAGCCTCAGCGCCACGAGATGGTCTCGCCGATCGCCCCATCTGACCAGCGAGCGCCTCCGTCGCGTTGTGGGTGCAGTGGATGTGTGAACATTCCCCTCCTCCACATGTGATCCTTGCCAGGCGCTGCTGGAGTTCAGCAATTGCCCGGCGCCTGAACTTGCTCGAATTTGAATTTTCTGTTGTGCTGTCGATGCTAGCTTTTGACTACAAAATTGTCTTCGAGACAGAAGCAGCCTTTCAACCTTTTGTGCCTTGTAGCTGTTTGGCTCAAGGTTTTGTCCACCTTTTCCGCTAATGTTGGGTGTAGTGGTCGCTAAGACGCATCCAGGAACCGCCACTTGTGTGGCCTGTCTGGATGAGAAGACGTTCCAACTGATTCGACCGATCCCAAGTCAGGGCAGCAGTCCATTTTGGACCGGTCCTGACGTGGCTTCCTTCCAAGTGGGAGGCCGAGTTCACTTCCAACCCACCGGCCACTTGTCTGAAAGGCTCATCATGGAATACCGTGTTGTGCCACCTTCAGTCAGATGATCAGCTCAATTCAGGTTCTATTCAAATGCTTGAGGTTCGAAGGCGCCAACTCGACTTCCTCACAGCAATGAAGACTTGCCATGTGTGTTTCTGAAGCAAGGCCAAGGCCGGGGATTCTTTGGTTCCCACTTTGCGCAAGCGAATTTGCAGTTGCACGAGGTCTAGGTTCCCACATGCTTTGCCCGTGGTCATTAAGCTCTTGTGAGTTTTTCAGAGTTCCTTGTAACTGTCCGCTGGTGGTTCTTGACGTATTCATTTTGAGCTCTCAGAGAGCAACAGTTTGAGCCTGAAAGCCATTGCGCGGAGGGCAAGGGGCTGCATCCCCTGCAGATGTATACTCCATGCTGAGCCGCATTGCCGAAGACAGCATCCTGAACGTTTGGCCAAGGAAGGCTTCTTGACTGAAATGCATGCTTCCGAAAATACAGCCTGATGAATTGCCAGAGGAATGTGCGCACGTTTGATTAGAGTTCCTTCAATGTACATCCCAGCAACGCGAATCAAGGTCCGCATCACATGCGACCCAAGTTTCCAAAATGCTTTGACAAGCTTGCAAGCCCTGACATGCTTTTGCGCAAAATGTGCACACTTGTGTACATGGGTATTCCGGTGGGTATTTCTGTGGAAAACAGCACGGGTATTCACGGCTTGGACTAGCCGACAAAAAAGATGCATACTGCAAGACACTGGTTATTGCAAACTATTTGTTCACCATACGCCTTGAATGGGGTCGTAATAGATCCGTTTCTTTGCAACGCTTTCTTGCAGTTGTCCAACTCAGCTGGGTGGTTGTGTTCCTTTCTTTCACTTCAGCTTGGTTTGGCTGGTCGTGTGTTGCACGAGGTTTGGTCATCGCATCGGCATTTGCATCCAGATGTCGATGTGCCGTCCTTCGTGGTCGTTCGGGGGTCATGGCCTCGATCTCGCAGGAAAAATCACAGGTTTCAGAAGGAAAGCTACCAGGAAGAAGGAGGCCATTGCTATTAGGTTCGAAGCTACTGCCCCCCTCCTTCAGCAAACCGTATGCCTGTCAAGGGGGCATTAGCAACACCAAAGTGCGGTAGTAGCGCCAAAGGGGATACCCCCAAATTACCCCACACTGAGGAGCATCGATTCTGTGTGGGAAGAGCATGGAGTTTCTCCAACTGGGCGCCTTGTCATCGGCGTTGACAGAGAAGCATGATCCAACTGGATAGGTTTTGTATCGATATATTTAGATTGACAGTCAGTGAGTTGGCATCATCTTCACTCATTGATAGGTTGAGATACTCATTCAGCATGGAGTCTTACTGGTAGTGAGTTGAGATGGAGTCTTAGGCAGTCTTTCAAGTCTCTCCGCGCCAACCTGGAGCTTGGAAGTGCAGGACTGGTGCGCGACATTTCGGTGACCTGCCTAAGATCCTGATTTTCAGTGACTGAGGGCCCTCCAAGAGAATACAATTTCTGATGAGCTGCGAGGTGACATGCGCAGCATTGAGAGAAGCAACTTTACAGGAACAAGCTCGCAGCAAATTTGGCCGCCTGGTTGCATGGTGTTGCACGGAGGGACAAGTCCAGGCTTTGTTTGCGCCTAACCCACCAATGTCTTGTTTATTCGCAGCCAAGCAAGGCGAAGCAAAGATGGTCAGCTTCACTGCTTCTTTTGATTTCAGTTTCAGCGCTCAGCCAAGCACGGTGTTTGTCCACGTGAGGCCTTCTCATCCTGGGCGTGGCGCGACCCAAGGACTTCCACAGAGCCGTGAGGTGCGACGTTCCTCCATTCTTTTTGTTGGCGCTCTTCGATCGCGTCGCGGTCGTCGTTGTGGGATGAGATGAGAAGAACATACATGAACTCAGCCAGGTCCGACAAAGAACAATGCGCCGTGCTGCTCATTGGTTGGTTGCCTGCGCCGCGCAACACTGACACCTGGTGCATACCTCGAGCTTTATGTACCAGCATCTCGTCAAAAAGAAGAAGGAGGTGGCAAACATATGGCTTGAGAAACACATCTTGCCAAGATTGATGTGAAGATTGATATGGAGTCTGAGCTCTGAGGCATTTTCCTTCTCAGTGATCATGCAGGCCAATCAGACGGTGAAGGCTCTCAGTTTGACGAGGTCGGAAAAAGGTAGCAAGGCTTAGCAAGGTAAAAAAACGGGAGAAATGCTGATGTGGTCTTGCGAGTGTTCGCCAGGAACTCGTGCGTTTAATGCGGCTTATTGAAAAGCAGCCTTTGGCTTGGGAAGTTGACGAGCAGGATAAGGAGGCCAAAATGGTCAATCTTGAGTCTTGCTTGTAGATGTTGTTAGAAGATTCCGACCAAAGTGCAGGGGTTCACTTGGTTCATGATTTCTTTTGAGCTTTGAGACCTTTGAGGGTACAATCTGTTGAAGGTTTTGAAAGTGTTCTCTCTTGGAAAGGAGCCTTTGTCCTTTTTCACATTCTCATTTGCTAGAACTATTTCAACCAGAAGCGATTAGCCTAGATACAGTGGCTGCACATCCAGGCGCTCCGTTGTCTTCTCGACGTTTTGGAAGGCGGGATCCATAGAAGTGCCAGCTTGCAATAGCAACTTCACTGGCAGTTTTCGTTGAATGCAGCTTGAAAGCGAGAGGTTTGAGCCAAGATCTAGGCACATCATCTGGAATGTTGAAAAACTCTAAGGACTCTAAACCAAACAAAGCTACGGATCAGAAAAGCAATAAACCGGATGATTTTCAGAAATGACGCCCAGAGTCATGTTTTGAACCAATTTGTTTTGACCGAGAATATTGCGGAACCTAGCACAACAAACATCCTCTCATTTTCGCCTGCATTCTTGCCAGCGCCCTGGCTCTCTTCTTCATCAGAGTATTGCTCCGGTTCGGTTGAGGTGTTTTGATCAAAATGGTAGCCAAAACGAAAGCAACATGACAGCAGCATTTCTGTGGACAGTGATTCGCAAGCGCAACCCTTTCAACTACTGCTCTTTTTTTTACAGCTGAGGAACCGAATTCATTTCCAATGAGTCCAAAACAACAACAGTTTGAGGGATATGGAGGAAATAGGTCAGAATGGGTAGCGCAACATCTGGCAGAAAGACCTGTGGAATCCACGAAACGGAATGCAAGACAACTTTGTTTGGTGGTGGCGAGTCTCGTCGAGTTTGAACAAGGCCAAAGCTGTGTGCCAAGCAACCAGCCAGCATAGTGCACAGCTCATTTTTGCGTTGGAAATCGGCAAAAACATCAACTCTTTCACACAAGCCTTAAGCTGCCAAATTGTCGGCGCATCAGACTTCGATGCTTTCTGCAAAGCAAGTCTGAAGCTCCTGCACAGTCTTGGAGCAACAGAAATGGCCAAAGTGGTGTCTTTGCTGCCAAGCTTGGAGACGGTGCAAAACACACAGTCGGTACATGAAAACTGCCAGGCACACCCACACCAAAAGCCATCGAAGTATTGTAGGAAGTATAAATTTGCAGGTGATTGCGCGCAACGCCTTTGAGTAGTACTTCACGCTGCATTGGGTCCAAGGTACTGCCTCTTCAAAGGAGTCTTTGTAGTCAATTCATCGGCTTTCTGTTTGTTGCCTCCTCAGATGGCCACGCAGCCTCCACATGCATATGTCAGTCCATTTGTTCTTGCTCAGGTTTGGGGCTGTTTATATGTGTTTGCCTTGTATGTGTGCTCGGCTTCCATGATTGTCTGAGGGAGGGTAAATTTCTTCTGTCAAGCTTCAACTTGACGTCCATCCCGCAGACAGGGGAGGATCCCTTTGGGGTTCATGATGCTTGATGAGAGGCCTAGAGTCATTCTCAGTCCTCTACCAGAATGTGATTTGTTGCCGCCACCTGCATATTGCAGGAAGTTCTCTACTGCCTTCATAGATATTCAAGCAAATAAACCTGTCCAAAACACGCATTGCCCATTTCAAGAGTACAGAGCTTAGAGCAGAAAGCGGCTCGTCTCACCAAAAATCACGTTTCCATCGAGGACTTAGAAAGAACTCATCTCCAGTTCAATTTATACTTATGGACGGTTAGACACACGTTGTCAGACCTTTCTGGCCATTGTCTTCATAGCTGGTAAGACAAGCGATAGAGAGAATTTAACATTTCGGGGCACACTCCGGTGACGATATGGAGCTGAAATTTAGAAGCATTGCTGAGGAAGCAGTGAGCACTCTCCGATCAATGTGTAACTCAGCTGGTTTTTGGGGATCCATGTCCAGGCGTTACGATTGAATCTTCCAACCCTCCTGGGTCAAAGCCACCAGGCCCAACGAAGTCAAGAGTCTTCATCTTGTTTCAAGACTCCAAACCGCTATGGCATGCTCTGAGATCACTGAGTGTTGGACATTTGGAGATGTAGGCAAGCCTTGTGGGTCGCTTCTGCGGACATTCTTGTGCAACACCTGGCGGTGTGGGACGCTCCTGCTTTTGTTCGCTGCCTTTGTAAGACGCTCATATGACACTGTTGTTGGACAGAGCCTACTCTTGCTCTTGGAGAACCGTCTTCTCTTGAAACTTAAAACCCACTGGAAGACATTCTGAGACAACCTTTGATGATACTCACGCTTACGCTGGCTTGGAACGCTCCTCTGAGACACTCTTGTACCACACTTCTGGAAGACGCTCGTGTGGGACAGTCTTGTCTGACATGTTTGCCTGACAAACAGCTGATGGACACGCAAGAGCGCCAAATCCTATTGTTACAGCGAGAGCACATGTCAAACCAAGCGCTTAACAATGTCGCGAAATAGGACGAAACGCACAAACATGAGGAAACACGTCTGGCGGTGCATCAACTTTGATTTTGCAAAGTTTGATGAACGTATTTGTTTTGCAGTTTGCGTGGCAACATGATATGTTGACATAAGGTCGTTGTGCAGTTCGCTTGCATTTTTCGAAGCTTTCCTCGTGGCATGTTTGTATAACAAACTGCTTCTACATGTTTGTAAACATGTTTCGAGCCATGTGTTCCCAGCCACCTGGATCATGCGCTTATCAAGGCATTTTACGAAAGTGCTTGGAAATCAAGTTTACAGAGTCAACTGTATCGCAGTTTCGTCCCAGGTCGTGAGGATGGAGTCCAAATCACGAGAGACGCGGCGAAAGGTTGTTTCATGGTGATCACTCCAGCTGGCTCCAGCTTCCCTCCAGGTCATCAGACAGTTTCTTGCTCAAACATGCTCCAACTTCAAAGTCGTACATAGTCATGGAGACGTTCTGTCCCACATGGGCCACGCAGAAGGTGCCGAGTTGGTCACGGGTTGGTCGCTCGCTCAGGTCTCAGTGGTGGAAGTGACGAGAAGAAGTGGCTGGAATCGTGGGAAGGGACCCGAGGCGATCCTGGCGAGTGGCGTTCTTGCTGCGGAGCAAGTTGGCGCCTTGACCTGCAGATGCCGACCGATGGAATCGTGCTAACAAGAAACTCAGATGTGCTACGACATGCTCATTGAATGACTCAGGTCAGTTTTGGTATGTTGCATCCTTCGAAAGCTCTGACAAGTCCCAGACGCCTGTTCCGTATTTGCAAGCGCTTGCCAAAGTGACAGAGGCCAATATCGAAAGGACCGAAGATGATATGGACAACAAAGATTTCAGACGAATTCAATGTTTATTCGCCAAGAATCTTTGACATTCCATGTTGTCCTTTGTGATTACGTTTCTGAACCTTTGTAGGCCCAATATGCCATGCTTGAAGGAGTGGACAGTTGTCTTCTTTGGCATCGCCTGTGGAAGCGGCAGAGTTGGGAGTGTTTCCACACCAAGACACTCACAACACAACGGAGTGCCTTGGCTTGATGCGAAGTTCTGGGGTTTGGCCAGCCAATCAATCAAGATGCACCCTTCAAAGTCTCGGGTGTTCCTCGTAGGAAACGCGCCAACTCCGTGAAGACAAGACTTCGTTGCAGTGAAAGCAACATTTCTTGGTCTTGTGCGAGGACAGGGGAGGCCATTAAGCGCACTGCCCGAGCCCTGGTGCCGACGGCCAGATCTGCTGGATCCCGTGGCTGGTCTTGCTCCGTGCATTGGTCCTGCTTGAAGGCCCCACCTCGGTGCCGGCGCATATGGACCCCATCAATGAGCCAATTTCGTTGGCAATAGATTCCTGATCTCGTTTGTGTTTTCTTGACCTTAGACTGCAGATGGGAGGGTTTTGGAGGGAGGATTATGTTAGTGGGATATATAGATATTCTCTCCCAACAGCGAAGCTTAGGGGGTCTTCAGCCATAGTAAAAAGACTTCAGGGCAGATCGGAGCAGGTTCCATGGCTTTTGACTTCTATGGGTTTTGGCGTTTGTTGGCGCTTGGTTGCTTTTTTGGCTTTTGACTTTTGGTGGCTTTATTACGGCTCTTGGCTTTTGGTGGTCGCTTTGGGCTGATGTCTGGTTGCCAGGTGGTTCCCTGTAACCTCTGTTAACTGCTGGTTTTGGTAACTTCTGTTGGCTTTTTGTTGCCTGCAGTTGACGGGTTTGCAGTGGTTTCTTAAAACGGTTTGTGTGTTCTTGGGCGGGGACGTGGCGCCTCCCGAAGACCCCCTCCTGTGCCGCGACATTTGCAACCTCTCCGATTTCCTGTTTGCCACAAAATCAGACTTTAGCTCAAGAATGACACCCCTGCACCACCTTTCTTTCTGTTTCTTTCCTTTCACCGGGGCCTCCACAAAAGAAACCATCGCAGTAATCATCCAGACACTCGTTTGCAGCGCACCCTTCCCTCTACTCTGTGCAAGGAGGAGGGGCCTAGAAGCATCCAACCCCCCCCAAAAAATCATCTCCGAAAAGCTCCGGATCGCTTGGATTCCCTTCAGGCTGTTGCTCACTTTGTGCTGGCTCGCCTGACCGCCCATCAAAATCCACGAGAACTGTACAAAAAACTGCTGGCCCAGTTCCTGTTGCACCTTGTGGAGAAGCAAGTGTACCTCCTATCTCCCGAGACAGCATCACCGCAGCGCCTTCGCGTTGCCGTTGAGATGTTGCGCAAGACGACGAGCAAAGTGGGGAAACTGCACCGAGATTTCGCGTTGCCTTCGATTCCCAAGACCTCTTTGACCCTGCGGTGCATCAAAGTCCGGCAAACCTTGGACGCGCTTTTGCGTGCGCGTGGGGAACAAAAGGCCTCGCAGTACAAGTTCAGCAGCTCAGATCAGGTGTTTGCGAGAGATGTTCTCTTCAGAGTCGCCGTGAACCAGAACGTGTCCGATCTGTTGATGCCAGCTGGCAACACCAAAGCTCGTGCTATCAAGAACCTGGAAGGCTTTCAGCTGTTCGGAGACCAAAGTTGCTTGGCGGAAAGAGACAAACCGCTGCTCGTTTGTTTGTTTAGGTTGGTTCTGTGATGCTTGATGCCAACATTGATCCGCTTCAGGGATTTGGTCCTGGGTAAGGCCCGTGCTTTGAGAGCGCTTTGCAGTGGTTGCACCACCTGGACTGGCAGAAGGATACAATGAAGATGCAAGTGGCTGGGCAAAATGTGGCAGAACGGTCTTGTCAAATGTCTTTGTTTATTTGTCTTTGAGGCTTCGTTCTTCTTTGCGTTTTGGAAAGCTGATAGTTTTGCATTCTGTGTTGTGTTCCTCTAAAACTCTTTCCTCAGATTGGAATGGTTTTGGTCGAGAAGATCTTCTTGCAGTATGCCCAGCAACTGGAAGAAGACTGGTCAGAACACGACCTTTCCTGGATGGAAGGCGGGGAGGGCTTGTGCCACACTTTAGGTTCTGATTGCAACTCTGAGGGCGATAGATATATATATATAGCTTAATGTCCTGATAAATGAAAGAGTCAGTCAGGGGAAGGTTTTGAATTCTGTGACAGCACTCTGTCAAACCCACGATCTCCCTTCACCTGAACTCGCCCAGAATTGATCGACGTGTACTGCCTCATTAGCGATCACTTCCGGAGTTCTGCACTGTGGAAAGTGGAGCTGCGCAGTAAAGAAGTCTTGGTGGTTTGGATCGGCTTTTGCCTCGCACTTCGAGTGATTTGTCAGCATACAGCTTTCAGTGTTGGCATCATGACTAGTTAGACTAGTTCCTTGTGTTCCATCTTCAAGTTGTTTGTGATTCAATCTTCAACCGTTGGCCGTGGACGCACTTCCGCTCCAGGCAGCAGAGCTGGAGCACCCATTGGTTCAAGCCTACGGCCCGGCTCTTCGGCCGGAGCATCTGCGCCGCTTGCTGCTGTCGAAGGCCGAAGAGATCGATGCCTTGAAAGCGGTGGATCGATTCTTGAAGAGTCGTTGGATCCATGGCGAATCTGGGCTCTTCAACTTGTCAGATCAGGTTGCTCGGTTTCACAGATGACTTTCTGTGAAGCTAGGTGAATGTTCATCCACCCTAGCTTTTAGAGGTATTTGGTGAGACATGCTTGGATGGGTCTCATCAAGTCTCCCTTTGTAAGGAAGCAACATTTCAATTCGCTGCCGAGTTTGGAGCTCAAAGTCCATATCTCCAGGACGTCCTTGCTATGGAGCGAAATGCTGAGGAAATCAGGATGACCAAACATTGGAACCAGGTGCAGAAGCAGCAAACGGAAGCGCAGGTTTTGAGGATAGAAATTGCCGACCTCCAGCGAGAATTGGACTGCAAGCTGCCTGTATTGAACAAGGTATGTGATTTGGAGGGGTGTCTTAGACGCGCTTTGTGGCAAAAGCCGACAGATTTGGTTTCTTCAGTTTGGAATGGCTGTTTACAGTTTTGCATGGTCTAGTTATGTGTTTCTTTCTTTTTTTTGTGTCTCTCCAGGCAGAAGCAGTCGGCCCTGAACGAAGTTCAAAGTATTCAGAGGGAGATTCACCAGTTGTCGGACTTAATCAGCTCCGGTTGGGACCTCTTCCACACAACAGACCGCACAGAGCGCAGACAGGCCCTCCAAACGCGGCAGGCACGATTGAATCAGGAGGTCTCCAGATATGACGCCCGCCTCACAGCGTTGCCGAGCCGGCAGACCTTGGAACGAGAGATAGCAACCCTTCTGAACCAGTTGGCCAAGGCGAAAGCGGAGCTAAAGAGCGCAGAGACACCACCACCAGCAGTGATCCAGTCTCTTCCGGAAGATGCCGATTTGGCCAACAGTGCGTTGTTTTTCCTCTACAAGCCCGACTTGTTGAGGTTGCTGTCACACATGACGATGAAAGCTCAACAAATCCTCTTACCTTGGCCATGGTGTTGCGACCAGAGGCAGGACTTGGGAATGATCATGCCACAGTTTTGGGAGATATGTTGAAAATCATGTTGCCGTCCAGTGCTGGCGTGCTTCAATACTTTCTGGGACTTGGCAGGTGGGATGTGAGAAAGTCGATCGAAGTACGAGATTTCAGAACCCGCTGGGCTGACCATTTCAACATGCAGAAGGAATACTACAACCCGCCTGACAAACCCCGCACCATCGATGCCTTGGTCAACTTGCTCAGCCGTGGAGAGGCTCCAAGCTCCCGTAGCCAAGATGTGGCAGGGCATCATATCGACAGCTTGGCAAATCCCAGGGATGGGGTGCGGGTCTCAGGTTATTAATTCACACGTTTCAAAGCTTGATGATTGGGCAAGTAGGCGTTGTCGTGCCTTGCAACAAGTTGTCCGACTTTTGACATGGAATCTACTTGAATCCAGGCGCAATAGCGGGTGGAGGATAGGTTGAAGGCCATCGCTAGTAGGATGGAGGCCATCGCTACTAGGAGGGTGGAGGCCAGCGCCAAAGCAATACCGGACAAAACTTCAGATCTCTGCAGCAAGTGAGGTCTGGTGGCCGGACAAGCTGCACCGTGAGTTTGCTTGCAAATCCAATGGCCGGTTGATCGACCGTGGCGGCTTCTTCAATCCCTTCCAGAATTTGCCGGACGCGATCCTGACGGATCACTGGACAGAGTGGATGCCACAGGACGCCGTGGATTTGCAATGGACCATGAAGCTTGGGGATGAGATCGCCAGCACGCGTGGCAATCAAGGAATTGCCACACAATGCAAGAAACCCAAGTGGTCGAGGACAGGGTGGACAGGGTTGATTGGGACCTTTGTTTATGTTATCCACGTGAAGCAATGTCACCGCCATGAAAAACATGAAGTCTGAAGGAAACATGAATACTTGGCCTTGTGTGGTTTGAGAGCATTCCCACACCAGCAGCTTCGCAAGCTTCTGATCGCGCTGCAAGAGTCCTCACTGCCTTTGACGCACACGCCTGTACACCATCTTCTACGACAGCTGCTCCACCATGTTGGTCCGACTGATCCTGACAGTGAGTTGCACTGGAAGCGTGACATTCCAGGTTTGATGAATGACTTCAAGGAGGCCCTGTTGGCATTGGTAGACGAGTTTTCGGCCAAACCACGTGCTCACCAAGCCATGCCGGCTTTGGCGGATCTCTTGAACTATTTCATCCAATGGGCGCCATGTGATCCTTTAGCGTCTATCTCTCTAGTTGCTGGGTGTGGCCAATTATCTGAGACAGCCCTGCGGTGGGCAAAGGATGCATTGTCTCAAATGCAAGGCCTTGCAACGGATCATCAGGATGCCTTGATTGCCAAGGTGCCATCGCAAAAGGGTGAGGAAACACGACGGTGTAAGATAACATAATATAACAGTGTTCTTGCTCCTAGTAGTATGGCCGGGAGCCCCTAGTAGCATCCTTGCTCCTAGTTCATGTCTTGGCCACCTTGGCCTGCCACCCTTGGTCGAGTCGGGTTGCGTCATGCACGTGCAGTTCAAGTCTTGACCTGCTTGCACCTCTCTTAGCCAGTTTGTTGTCCGGCAGTTGTCGCAGCAAAGTCTTGTTTCCCGGTCAACACGCTGACGTGAATATAACCTGACTTTCCTAGCAGTACTCCATCCTTCCATGGCTAAACCCTGAATGAAGGTGAAGCTCTTTGGTCTTTACGCCGCCCTTTGCACTCCAGCATCGACTCTGATGATGGAAGACGGACAGCGATTGGTGGAGGGTCTGGTCTATGCTCACAACAGCTCTCCATTCAGGGTGCAGCAGACAGCGAAAGAAAAGGAGACGCTTGAAGGCTTACGTCGGAGGGCTGATGCCGTCGCGGTACAGAAGCTTGAAGAAGTCATCGAGTTTGCCAGAAGTTCAAATCATTTCATCACGGCAGGTGTTTCAGCAGCTCTGGAACACGTGCCAGAAGACCTGCAATGGCAGCAAGTTGATGCAACGCCATGTTTTCAGGCGCAATGCCATTCAGGTCGCTTGTACAGCATCAACTTGCTGAAAGGTATTGTGCTCCTGGATGGTTATCCACCACGGCGCATCCCTTCGACTATTCTTCAGCACAGCCTCTTCCAACGTTGCTTCGGAGACGCTGTCTTTGAGGTCAGCATGGACAGATTTGGAACTTTCAAGACATCAAGGCCAGTGGATGGATGCTTCTATGAGTTCCAAGAGCTGTCAGATGGCCAGTTGCGCATCGCAGAGTTGAAGGATGGAAGCTTGGGCGTAGCTAGTGTGCTATTGTGGTGTGCTGTCGTTTCCTTGTTTTGTTTCGGTGATCATGTCAAATGACTACTGATACTGATTATGCACTTTTGTACATTGCCTAAAGGGCTTCTAGCACTTCTTGTAAGTCGCTTTTTCATTGGCGGTGTAGTCTGAGGTCGTTCACTTCAGCTGGTGCCCTCTGAACACCTGGGCGAGCAGTTTCCAAAGCGTTTGGTGGAGCTACACAGCCATTGGAGGGACGAAGATTCCGGTGCGGTTGTGTTTCGCCCAATCTACTTCCGGGAGAGATCGGCGTATTTCCTTTATGTGCCTCACCAAGATGGCACCTGCGGTGTGTGCCGCCAAATTCCCGAGCACTTGAGAACAAGAGCTCTTGAAGATTTGCTGAGCCATGAAGACGTTGTCCACCAGCTTGTCTGTGCAGAAGCCGGAGTGATCGATATCCTGCACAAATTCGAAGACCAAGCCTTCATCCATCGATACGTCAATTGCGCGTTTGACCGGGGTGACAGTCATGAGGAGATTGAACATTTGGAGCTTCCCCGTGTCAATATGGCCTTCACTCGGCAGTGTGGCCATTGGATGTCCCGCGACTATCGTGGCTACTGCTTGGCCGACCAACAGAAGATGAGCGACACATTGATTGACTTTGATTCTTACTTGGTCTTGAAGCGGGTGGATCCAAATGCCAGTTGCTTAGTGGCTGTGAACTGTGAATGAATCGCAGAACATGAACGAAACCTGTCTCGTGAAGTGTTTGACATTGATGGAAACATAGATAGATTTTTTGCTCGATTCACCAGGATCTTTCCATTCCGGAAGTGAAGATTATCGTGAAAAACAGCAATGTGCGGGAGTCAGTGCCTTTGTCACTTGTGAGTGACTCTCATAGTGGCACTGAACAAGTCACTGCTCCCTGGCTGGAATTTTGCTTTGGCCCTGAAGACACACAGCATGAAAGCATTGTAGGATCAAAGTTTGGGTGTGCCTCGTCTTCTCCCGCTCAGGTTTGCTTTGATGTGCACGAGAGATTCAAGCATCTTGTGGCAGAGACTGTGCAGTCTCGGCTTCTATTGGCCAGTCTCTATGCAGGGACAGATAGTGGATTGCCTGACCCACGCTTGGGAGCCACTTACTTGAAAGGGGTCGTCATTGCATGCGGCGTCTCATTCTGTCTAACGTGACCTCAGGTCACGGGCATGGAGGCTGCTGTGGATTTGGTGAGACAGTCGTGGGTCAATCGGCCCTTGTCGAAGCTGGAAATGCAACGAGCCTTGGCAGATGATCAGGTGGTAAAGCAGAGGCCATTCGTCGTTCCCGGAAGACTTCTATTCAATAAATGCATGAGACACCGTGATTTGTTGCACCAGCTTGGAACGGCGTGTTTGTCAAGGGTATTCTATCCAAATGCATGCAGACCAGTGAGGATTGGCTGGAATCCTTCAATTTTCGTCCCGTGCTCCACTGGCTTTGGATCTTCTTTGTGAAAGCCTCAGTGTGAGCGACAATCTGCAACACTGACAGAGGCGTCAAAGTGCTCGGCAACAAATTCTGATTTCAGGTCGGGAACTGCTTCGTTCATCTTGCCAGCTCGCAGCTCTACATGGTTTGCGGGCAGAGTATCCGAAGGTGCAACACTTTTTTGTTGAAGCACTCAAAATTTGAGTAAGTCGGGATTCTAATCTCGATGTCGGATTTGGTTCTCAAGGGATTGAAACTCATGGTTGATTTACTGTTGACAAACCTGCTGCAGGAGGCGAGGCATGAGAACCAAATCTTGGTGACTGCTGCATATTTCAAGGAAGCTCGCAGCACTGGGTGCTGCTTCCAGGACTGTGGCTGGTGAGGATTTGAGCGCAACGTGTCAAAAGCGGTTCATTTGACCTTTGTTCATTTGAGCAGCCTTCAAATTTCCCCGCTTCATTTTTAGATATCTTTAGTGGTCGGCAAAAGAGTCGGTGAAAGCCAGTGAAAGCAATGGTTGTTGCTGATGGGTTTGCCACAACGCCACAAGGATGTGCGACAGAGCACGGTGCCGTAAGGTTGCTGGAAGTTGAAGTTGAGAACATGTGTTTGAACGCCGCTTTGAACGCCGCTCATTTTTAGTCTTTAGATCTATTTTGTGCTTTTGTCAGCTGGAATCATGCCTACCAGGAGCGCAATTTCCGCCAGACATTGACCGCTGAAGAGGAGCGCCGTTGCTTTGGCCAGGTCAGAGGAGGTGGAAGAGCAGCAGCTTGGTTGTGGCAACTCTAGAAGACTCTAGGAGCAATGAAATCGATGTTTCCCTTCCTCATGGCGCTAGCGCAAATGTGTTTGGGCATCTATCCATCATTGTTTTTGCGAAGAAATATGACTCTGGGAAAACATTACGAATGCCGGTATTCTAGGCTGAAGGTAATTTTTGCGAACGAGGTGAGTTTATTAGGATGTTGTGGGGGGGGCAGACTAGGAGAGAGCCGAAAAGGAGAGATTGAGACAAAAAAGAACGTGTCAATATTGAACTGTTCCCTGTCCCTTGTGTCCCTTGTCCCAACTACCATATACACATAAGGATTTGTTTCTTGTCATATCTCCCAATTCCCACACCCCGCTATTCGCCTTTCCTCTTTGCCCCTCTCCCAAGTCCACGCAGTCCCTGTTCTTCTTGGTTCATTCTCCTACGTTGACGATCCCGATACTCTTCCCCAAAAGTATTTTCTCAAGCTTTCTTGATACACCGAGAAAAGGATCAACAGAAGAATGCGACTGGAGGTTGCGACTTACATGAAAACTATCCTCAGACGCTGTACCTCATACCGTGAGCCTAAGCTCCCGTATGAAACGAACATGCCTTAAAGCATTGAGCTTCCTTGGCGCGCTTCAACTCAATCCTAAAACCCTCGGAATACCTCTCGATGACAAACCCCTTCAGACCACGAACCGCGAGCCTCATGCTTCGCCAGGAGGGGTTGGCCGGGCCGTGTTCACTTCATGTTGGGCTATCTTCGGGTCATGTTGGGCTATTTGGCGGCTAGTGTGGGTTCACGTTGAGGTTGTTGAAGTCACGTTTGGCTCATGTTGGAATACTTGAAGTGTAGGTTGGGATTCTGATCAGCCTTTGTTGAAGCATGAATGGGGTCATGTTGGGCTATCTCGAGCTATGTTGGGCTCATGCTAGGATTCCGACTCGCATTTTCTGCGTCACCAACTCAGCACTACCAAAAACACCACTGAGTTGGCAGTTTTTTAATGTGCATTCGGCCCCTCTTCTCCTTTTCTCTCCTCCGCTTCTATCCTCTCATGAGGGACACTGCTGGGTTCTGGTGTTACCACGTCAAGAATCCCAGAGCCACTTTTTCCCAGAGTCATTTTAAAGCAAAGGATTCAGAAGTTTCGTCGAAAGAGAGCAAGTAGACTGTGTGATTTGGAAGCGCCCCGTCAAGGTAATGCGCAGCAAGCACACAGTGGAGGTTGAAGAGCCTCCAGCCCTTTGTCAAGACCGGTTTGTGTGTTTCCGTTCCTTTGAACTTTATCAAACAAGGTATTGTCATCTTACGTCGATGACGCTGAGAAGGAATTGCAGAATTATGTGGAAAAGTGCCCGACCCAGATTTCAATGATGCTTGTTTGACCAACCAACCCCAACGGTCAGCTTCTGCAATTCAGCTACAGGTTGCCGCCGAAAGAACCGCCGTTGTTTCCATTGACAGGTGTGCCAATTTCAGGTTTCATGTGTTCGTTTGACCGTGAGCTTTTGTTGTCAAACGTGCGTGGCTTTGAGTTGTGACCAGGCAACTTTTCATCCCCAATTGGCAAAGAGATGATGGAGGATGGGAGATGAGAGACGGGAGCCAGTCCAGCCTCCGTAGCCTGTTCAGTTTGTTTTCCTGTTTTTCAGACTTATTGATCCTTCTTATGTCAATCGGTTTTTGCTTGCTAGTGTCCTTGCAGTGTGCAGGAACTGCGTGGTTCCTGGCGAGCCCATCACCAAACAGAAGACTTCGAGGTCACAGAGGAGGGACGCCAGGCGTTCCACCGTAGGGTCGTACGACACGAACAGGTACGTTTGTTTATCACGTCGTGCCAGATACATGCATCATGTAGCCAAGAGCGGAGGTGGAAGTGTGGGAAGCAAAGTTGGAGGAGGCAAGAGCTTGTCGTCAGCAGATGTACGACTATCTTGCTGATGCCTTGCAACTCTTTCCTGTGGACGAAGGCCAGCTCGATGTGAATTTAGATTCTTACGCTTTATGGAGATTGTTCGATCGGACGAGTGGAGGGTATTTTGAACATGTACTTTTGCAGGGGCTTATGAGTCCAATATCTTTCACGGGCGTATGGCATCAAATATGGCGCCAAAGGCAGGAGTGGGAGCGTTTTCTGCTTCCACAAGCTGGGAGGGGTATTGTTCCCGAGGGTATTGGGCCCTTTTCCTTCGAGGTAACACAACGAGATTTCTTGAAAGCAGCTCTTCAGCCAGAGATCCTTCGAAGTTTCAACCCCTTTTTGCGTCTTGGCTTGACATCGTTGCGCAAGAGAGTGCTTCATTCCTTTCAAAGAGGCTCGTATACGCTCGCCGATTGTGCAGCTGCCACATCTTAGGTCGCGTAATGCAGTGCAGACGCTCCACAAAGGCGTGCTGGTCTTGTTGCAACTTTACGTGCTGGAGGACAAATTCAAGAGACTTTTGGTCCATGCACCTTGGCCTTGTCAGATGATGTCAGGCAGCATACTGCTTCATATCTCCATCAAACAATCTCAGTACGTCAAATTTACAGTATTCATCTCTTGCTGTTCATGACTTGATGCTCGTAGCGAACCTAAAAGGTGCTGAAATGTTTCTGGAAGCTGAGGCAAAGGGACAGGTCTATCCCTTGCTGTTGCAAGAGCTGCTTGTGTTCCGATGCTGGCGAGTAGAGGAGCACCCAGAGTGGTTGGTCTTCGAGGTGGAGGAAGGATTGCAGATTCGTCCGGTGCAGTATGAAGTTGCAAGGAAACTCATCAAAGACCCTGGTTGTGTGGTCCAGCTCAACATGGGCGAAGGCAAAACCCGCGTGATTCTGCCTATGCTCATATTGCACTGGGCTGGAAAGGGAGACCAGAGATTGTTGAGGATCACTGCATTGACCTCCTTAATCAATGAGCTTTTCGATTTTCTGCACAGGCATTTGTGTGCTTCGGTGCTGCAGCGGAAAGTCTTCTTGCTTCCATTTCACCGTGACGTGCTACTCACCGTGGAAGATGTGAAGGTGATGATTTCCTCGATGAAATTCTGTAGCCGCAGTGGAGGTGTCTTGCTGGTAGCTCCAGAGCACCGTTTGTCTCTGCAACTGAAATGGCATGAGCTGCGCTTGCAAGGGGAGGACACTCTATGTGACTTGCTCAATCAGTTCCTTGCTTTGCCCTCACGTGATTGTTTGGATGAAAGCGACGAAGTGCTCCGCCACAAGTACCAATTGATCTACGCCGTGGGCAGCCCCATTCCACTCCCTGAAGGCCCTGACAGATGGAATGCGGCAACGGCGCTGCTCCGAGTTTTGCACAAATCCAACAGGCTGAGGAACCTCTTATCCGCAACATCCGTGACCGGAAACGGTGACTGTGAAGCTTTCAAGAGTCTTCGGCTGGTTCCGGGTGCAGAATTGAATGCAGTCATGCCACGAGTACGGGTCGCCATCCTTGAGGATTTGATGGAAGATCCCCCATATGACTTCGCGTGGTTGAAAAACTTCCAGGGCGACAGCTCTGTTATCAGATTTTTGACATCTCCTGAAGAAGATGACAAAACTCTGCCAGAGGGCATTCCTCAGGATCGTATCTTGGCGATGCTGGCCTTTCGAGGGCTCATTGCGTGCTCTGTGTTGGAGCATTGCTTGACAAAGAGACATTCTGTGGAGTATGGCATCAGGAGAAGCCATGGGAAGCGTTTGGCAGTGCCTTATCGAGCGAGCAACACACCATCAGAGCGGTCTGAGTTTGGGCACCCAGATTGCGCTATTCTTTTGACTCTCCTCTCATACTTTTCGGATGGCCTCAGCCAGTCGGAGCTCCGACAAGCCTTTGAGACCCTGCTGGCTTGTGATGAGTCCATCCAAGAAAGCCACTATGATGTTTGGTTCAGGTTGAGTTGTGAACGCATGCCGGAAGAAGATAGGGCGTGTGTGGAACGAGTTTCTATGGTAGACCTCTCCAACGAGAATCAGCTCGACGTGCTGTATGAGTATTTCCACATGAACTTCGAGACAATTGCATTTTGGGTTTGCCATTGTTTGTTTCCATGTGAGACCTCTCAATATCCTCAGAAACTGTTGGCAAATGCTTGGCACTTGGCCCAAAATCCAGATGGTCTCGTTGGCGGCTTCTCTGGCACGGACGACAATCATCGCGCATTACCTTTGCAAGTGACGCAGCAGATGCCAAACTGCATATATCAGAACAACTTCAAACTTTGAACGAATAAGGCCGTCGTTTTTCACTTGCTTTTAGCAGGCAGTTCATTTCCAAGAGCGTTTTAGTGCAGGGTTCTTCTGAAAGTGGGGCGGTTGAATCATATCTTCACATGTTCTCTCTTATTTTTGATTCTCTCTTGGCGCGAACCTTCTGCGAGGGAATTCACGTGTCGAACGGCCGGAACTGCGGTAGAATGTCAATTGCGACACCAAAGCATGGCCGGCGTGATTTCTGCAAGCTCCGGGCTCGGAAGCGGCGGTTTGTAGAACAAAAGTCGTGCACGGAGTAAAGCGTGTAAACTTTGGGCCCAGAACTTGCTGTCCTGCAGCGCCAGGCGAAATGGCCGTTTGTGATGTTGCTGTGTCATGCAGTTTGCTAGGCCTCGGTGGCTCTGTGTGTTTGTGTGGCGGGCGGGATGACTTGGTGGTGTCAACGAGGCTTGGCGTCGCCTGCAATGCGATAGCTTCTAGATGGATGTCTTGCGTGCGCTCATGACAAAGAAGCCATGTTCCCACATCGTGGAGAAGTCGCGTTCCCACATGGCGTTTGGCGAAAGGGAACCTTCTGCGACCTTGCACGTGGCAAACACTGGGAAGAAGAAAACACAAGTTCACTTTAAGGTATATATGTAGAAGTGTATGTGTATATGTATCTTGTTTGATTTCGCCCGAGAGCACCGGCTGAGTCGCTGGCAGGGTACGGAAACGACGCTTGTGCGAAAGTCATGCAGCAGATGGTTGACTTGTCATCCTCACTTCTGTGGATGGTTCTCCTCACTCACATCTTCTTTCTGAGCCAACCTTCTTGTTAACACACCTTCTTGCTATCATTTTGTTGCCCTCGGGCCGTCCTTTGCCTGGTGTCGGTGAATAGGCAGAGTGTGAACAGGGCATCAAACTCCTTCTGAGGAACCTTGCAACACTTTCGGGTACCAATGGCAAGATGGTGAAGATCATTCTGGACAACCCAGAGTTTCAAAATTTGGAAGTGGGGGACGATGGCAACCTGCACTGGAAACAAGTGCTACAGACGGCTGCTTCACGAGGTGCGGCTCACTGTCGAGATGTGCTGCAAAAGATCAAAACATGTTTCAGGATTTCCAAAGCACCGAAATTGCAAAGGCTCACACGGGGCTTTCCGAATCAGCTTATTTGAGAAACGCGCCGAAAAGAAAACACAGAGGGAGAAAGGGAGGGAAGGCCGAGGGGAAGTGAAAGTAAAGAGAATCAGAGCGAGAGGGAGAGGGAAAGGAAGGGAGAGCGGGGATCCAGGTTCTTTGTTTGAAATGAGAGGCGTGGCTGCTTTGATTGATTGTGGGGCTCTGACTGCCGGAGCCAGCAACTCTGAGATTGCCCGTGAGCTACTTGAGTTTCTGGCAGAAGGAAAGGTGACTGTTCTGAGTGCTGCGTTGTCTTGATGTGGCTGCGAATGGTTCACATCTCTTGGCATGTTTATTGTGCGCAAACGCAAAGAGAAGGGTTTGTTGCTGATTGCGCACAATTTGTTGCAGGAAGAATGTTCAGTGGCGTGACCTACTTTGACACATCCAAGAAAGCACTTCGTTTCCAAAGTTCCGTGATCTCCATGAGATTGCTTTGAAGTAACGCAATTTCAAGGCTCGTCGTTTCAATCAGATGCTGAACCAAGGATTGGATGATTTTGGACTATCATGGGCGTTGCTTGCCAAAAAAGTCTTCGCCTGCCCGAGAGTCAGAGACTTGAATCGTATGGAAAGGTAGTCCAATTGTCCCAAACAGCGCTGCAATTAGGTGTTGAGTGTTGCTTGCTGCAGCAAAGGAGTGTTTTGCCTTCTTCGACGAAGCAAGATCACGTGGGGCAGACTTGAAGCTAGCCATGACAGCGAGAGCCATGGTGACTTGAAAACGAATGTCCAAGAGTGCAAATGTCCGTTTGCTGGGACCAAAACCTTGCAAAGTTAAAGCAGAAGCGACGTTTTCAGAGATCATCACAAAGCCGGCAGCCAATGCAACATGTGCACAATTAACATGCATTCTGCATCAGCAAAGAGATCTCTATTCGATACCAGGTAATGCCCAGGAGTCTTGAAATGTTCATTGTTGTTCGCAATAGAGAGACCCAGGTCCACAAGGTTTGCAGAACTGCAGGTGACCGTGGGGCCCAAGTGCAGCAAGGACAAGTTGATGCAAGCCGTGGGGCGAATGCGACAACTCGGCAAAGGCCAAAGCCTGGAATTCATCAGCTCCCCAGAGGCTCTCAAGCACGAGCAGTGCGATGGCCTAATAGCGATGAGCTCCACGACCACATTCTCATGGTGTTCTTGATGCAAGTAGGAACATGCGCTGAAGCCCTGAAAGGTCACCAAGAAGATTCGAGATTTGACAATGCGTGACCTGGGCCAGGCAAAGAAATGGGCAGAACCAACATGTTTGCGTGTACAGTACTCTAAGCTTTCTTTTTTGGTCCAACGGGTTGCAGAGTGGTGGGCAGGTGAGCGGAAGATGGGCCAGGACTGACAGCACGTTGCGAAGATCTGATGTCAAATAGTTCGAGTGCATTGTCGGCCGCCAGGCCCGTTCTTGGTCCTTCAGAGATCACTTCAAAGCACCTTCTTGAATGGGTGATGGCCAATACTGCCCCACAGTTGCACAGTAAGACGTCCCCAAAGGGATGAGTTTAAGATGAAACATGAATCTATTTTAATTCTATTTTAATTCTTATTGTTACTAGTAGTAAGGCACTTGTTTCTACTAGCGTGGCACTTGTTACTAATGCGTTGCAACTTGTCACTCAATTATTGTTCGAGACTTAGCACGGTCAGGCTCTAGTTTGATTGGAACGAGTCCTTCTTTCTGCCCCGTACCATGTGTCACATTGAAGCTGAGGTTCAAGCCGCAGAAGAGGCATTGACCGAGTGGGCAACTCTTCTTAACAGTTGAAGAGTTTGCGGGTGGCATTATTGACTGGCTTCGCACAATTCACTGCAGAGCGACGGTTGTTCTTCTTTGCGTTGTCTTGCACAGAACGGTTTTGTGCTATTTTGGAGTCTGAGGCCAAGCAGGGATTGCTCTTCACCACCACTCATGCACACCCGGAACTTGCAGTGTTAGATGAAACCGTTGAGCTCAGCTTCTTCTACGGAAAAGCTTTGGTCCTTCAGCTGCATTTTCATGGTTTGACGGTGTGAGTGCAGCTTCTGTTTGATCACATCGCACATTCATAGAGTACTGTGGACCAAAGTCATGAATCTAAAACGTGTCAGAGCTATCTATGCGTACGTCTAGGACCTCACTGTGGTACACGGGTTGGGGCCATCAACGGGTTGAGGTGTCTCGAGAGGTTCCAGAGGTGATTGGGCAAGAGATGAAACTGTATGCAGAGAGACTTGGCGCCACAAGTACATGACACGGAGAGGTTGCCGAGGTGTCGTGTCAAGGGGTTGGCTGAACAACTTGTGTCCTTTCGTTAACAGTATTGCGGGGTACATGTAGGAGAATGTTGGAGAACAACTTGTGTGAGTTTGTGGTGGTTGCAGCTGCAGACAGCTTTTCTCGGGCAGTAGCCAAAAGCATCAGGATGGGATTATGGCAAAGTCGTGAACACACAGAAGGCTTCAGAAGTAACATCCATGCTGCAGGTCTCTGATGCAGAAGCGGCTGGTTCACGTTCATACAGAGATTAAATGCAATTCGATATATTTGTTGCTACCTTGTAACATACATTACATATTGAGTCACGTAGTACAGTTCATGACTGTCCACTGGTTCAGTTAACTTTTGCGCCACATGCGCGCCAGACATCCACCAATTGCATCACATGCGCAAAACCAGTTAAGCTGCTGTTTGACATGTTGCACGCGTCAGAATTCCTCTCTTCTTGTGCTGCACACTCCACAAGACTCTGCTGCATCAGATCCATTTCCAGGTTGTCTTGCATGCACGCCCCTTCTCCCCTCCATTTGCCTTTCCTAGATGTAGTGACTAGAGATTGCGCTACCTTACGTTAGTGACATGACAGGACATTGTTTCACTAACGATCCATCTTTCATGTAAGTATGCCATAGTCCTACCACAAACTAAGTGTCTTTTTTGAAGCTAGGACCTAGATGAGCTTCACCAAAAAAGTACGTATACATCAGCACATTTGCACGCACTTATGACCGATCGTCTGACCCGACCCGATTACTTTTCCTATGGATTCACGTGCCTACAAAATATGAATGGCTAGACGTGCTTGCCTCCCATATTGAGATACAGTACCCACAAGACATGCCAACAGAGTACCTACATAGCCAAAATACGTGCAACGTCCTGCACGCGCACACACACACACATATGCATGTGCGCATCGTACATGGATACAAAGATATCAATGGAACCTGAACGCTATGATATTGATAGGCAGATCTGTACCTAACGCCTGAAGCTACGTACATATATCAATTGAACCTTAGTCGAAGATATGCGTACCCGAACGCCCATCCTCCAAGGAGGGCAGGTCTGGGAGGGCCCGACGACTCGGACGGAGCGCTTCTCAACGAGATCATGCGTCGTTCAGAGAGCTATGGAGCCGGAGTTCGTGTGACTGCCAACGTGCTCGACGAAGAGCAACCTGGCAGACGACGACAAAGCAGAACTGAGCAAAATTGAATCGAAAACAGGTGGAATTCAGCCAACGCGGGGCAGCTAAGGGTTTTCTTTAGGAGTTGTCGTGTGTGTATGTGTGTGTGTGTGGAAGTTGATTTGAGCTCAGGTATGAGCGTGAGCTCGAAGTGGAAAAGGAGGTCGAGAAGGAAGTCGAGAAGCAGTTGCCCAGTGTGCAGCCAAACCACGAGGAAGATTGGAACACGGCACAATTGCCGATTTCAAGGAGCATCAGGGACTTGGGCATCGAAGTCGTCACTTTGCTGACAATCTTTGGCTCGACGGTCTCATTGAAAGGAATCAAAGCTTGGCCGAACACAGCCATCTTTGCAACGAAGAACTTCCATCAGACAATCCTGATGCACAAAAAGCGACTCAATTTGGACGACTATTTGCGACCTGTCGACGCACTCGTTGTTTTCCCAGCGTCGGGAGAGGTTTTGCTCCTTTCCGAAAGGGAGGCCGATTCGGCTCTGGAGGCATTTTGGAACAGATCAAATTCTTCCGAGAGTTTCTTCTCAAAGTGGTGGAAAGCCAAGTCCTACAATACCCAGAATTTCTTCATCAATTGGGCGTTGTGGCGGAACGGCTTCTTGTCGAAGCTTCCAGGCCTGCTTCCTACGGATGCTGTATCAGGTCTTCCGGATCTTCTTCAGGACGCGTCCAGATTGGTGTCCATCCAGGTGTTTATGGGCGACACGCGGTTCAAAGAAGAGGCTCAGAAGAAGGAGCTCCAAGATCTTGTGACCTTTGTCGATCGATCATGTGGAGATGCGAGGGCCATCAAAGAGCTTGAACCTTGGTAGCAAATCAAGCTTTTTTGCGCGCTATTATGTCTATACATTGTAAGATGCCCTTTCGCCTCTTTTGCAACAATGTCAGATCTCCATGTCGGCTTGTGGGCTTGAGGTGAGTGTGAGGGGAATGATGCATCGCTTTGAAAGAAGTGACCTTGCATGGATCCTCAACTCCCGGTAGGCTGATTTTGCTTAGGCGGCTTCCTGGCATGTTTTCCATGATTCATATGTGATGTGACTTCGCCCAATTCTTGTGTGCAACTGTTGGGAGCTGCTGCTCTTAGATCGTTTGCGAGCGCCAACGTCATTGTAAAACATACGCCCTCGCAATGCTGTTGGCAAAATTTCGAATGGCAGTCCTCTTGGATTTGACCAACTGGTCTTGGAGGCAATCCCATTTGCGTTTTTGTATCTTTACAGGTGTCAGTTTCTACGGCTCGTGTCTGAGCTGTTCTGACCATTATTGAAAGTTAGAAGTGACAGGCATGGTCGATCATGAGAGCAAAGATGCCCTGCAGCATTGAATGCTTTGCAATTGCGCCGTGGGTTGTTGGCCACGGGCCCTGTGTTGCAACTTTCCGTAGCGCCCATCTTCGGAGGAGGGCCAGTTTCTGGAGTCTTGTTCCTGCATGTTCCTGCTGAACACTTGATTGGCGGAGGCGCTGCCAGTTCCAATGTGTTTGTTTATATCAGATGAATGTGGCGCAAGCCCAAAGTTCTCAGTTCGGGGATCTTCCATTCTGAAAGTCCAGAAGGTGTGCAGGTGCCTCCTAGCACCGACTTTGAAAGCCAATGTTGGACCATCCGATCGCACCCAACTTGTAGCCCTAAGGTTGCAGGAACCAATGCACTTGAAGGTGTTGAAGGCCGGGTTGGGCCAGTGGGTCCATTGGGTCGGGGTGTTTGGTTTCGTCTTCGCCGAGCGCCCACCATGGGGTCACTTGCGATCGTCTCGTCGCGTGGTGTACGGATTTGAGGGTGGTTTCATATTATATGTTGGAGATTCAAGATAGGACAACTGGAGGGGGTATGTATGACCCCCTGATGATGGCGGCTCCGTCTGAGAAAATGAGACGAGTTGACGAGTCGTTGTGACCCCAGCTACCTAGTAGCGTCCTTGCTCCTAGTAGCGATGCCATGAGCCCCTAGTAGCGATGCCCTTGCTCCTAGTAGCGTCCTTCAGCTTTGCTTGAGCAATTCGAAACCATGGCTCTCCTCCGAAGGCCACGCCCGATGGTCACCTTTGGCACGCAGCCGAGGTGCCCGCGGGACGTTCGGTGACGTTCGACGCGGCGACGTTTGGTTAGACCGAAGGAAAACACGATAACGTTAAAGTGGATGAATGCGGATAGGCCGATGACTGGAAGTTATGGGGCGTTGCGTGGTGGTATCCGCTTGTCGTTTCAAAGTGTCCATCGGAAGTGTTTAGTCGAACCCGGAATGGTTGGTACTTTTGAGAAACGATATCAAAACTTCACAAGCAGTATCAGTATGAACGATTCTTTGATTTCCTTGCTAATTACTCTTTCTTCCAATTTCGGAATTTGCTATATGTGCCTCTTTTCTGTAGCATCTCAATGCACAAACGTTGCCTGATCTATCGGGTCTAGACTCCTTTGGATCTCCGGCTCATTTGCACCTGTCCAGGAGCCTGTTGGCGGGATTGCAGCTCCCAACGTTTGGAGAGACGACGTGGGGGGGATCCAAGATGACACATGTCGCTCAGTTGTTGTAAGGCTGAATGTGCTTTGGAAGACACATTTGAATGATTCCGTCACTAGACTTGATGGCTGGTATGTCCAGCTGACGGGGTGCTCAGCATTCTTCCTACAAATCATGTTGCAAGGTGTTTTGGCACAGGCGGCCATCACACCAAACGGTCACGAAATCATTGTGCACAAAACACAGGGCTTCATCAAGAAGTAGTTTCTGAAAGAAACAAGATGGAGCCCACGAACCCGAATGCAAACACGTTCGAAAAGCTACATATGTCCAAATGACACTCTTGTAGGACACTCTTGTGGGACACTCTTGTAGGAAACTCTTGTGGGACATTCTTACGGGACACTCTTGTGGGACACTCTTGTGGGACACTCTAGTAGGAAACTCTTGTGGGACACTCTTGTAGGAAGCTCTTGTGGGACGCTCTTGTAGGACACTCTTGTGGGACACTGTTGCGGGACACTCTTGTGGGACACTCTTGAGGGACACTCTTGTGGGACACTCTTGTAGGACACTCTTGTGGGATACTCCTGTAGGACACTCTTGTGGGACACTCTTGTAGGAAGCTCTTGTGGGACGCTCTTGTAGGACACTCTTGTGGGAAGCTCTTGTGGGACACTCTTGTAGGACACTCTTGTGGGACACTGTTGCGGGACACTCTTGTGGGACACTCTTAAGGGACACTCTTGTGGGACAGTCCTGTGGCTAACTCATTTGGGACACTCTTGTGGGACACTCTTGTGCGACACTCTTGCAGGACACTCTTGTGGGAAGCTCTTGTGGGACACTCTTGTAGGACACT